GGTTGTAACCGACGCAGGTTGTAACCGATGCTTATTGTAACTGTAAATGTTGTTAGTCATGTCAGTTTTGTTTGTATTATAGTACCACTACAATTTAATCTTTGTCTAAACACACAGAATTTCAAGTCGCTATACGAAAAAGTTAACTTTCTCTTCGTCTTCATCAGCTATGGGCGAAGCTTACGTCTCAAATAGATCGAAGAAGGTTACACAAGATGGTAGAATTTTTTTGTTTACGTCTCGTTCGAACAGTATTATCTTTATGTTAGAAAGTGATTTGTGTTGAAAACGGTGAGGTAAAACACGTGATACGTCTCACTACCATCGTTACCTTTTTCCTAGTTTCTAGTTTTTTCTAGTTTGTCTCATATGTTTTATGCAAGGCTTTCCATTCTTGCTTGTATGTATGATGTACGATTTACCTATACGCGAGTGTGTATGTGTGTGAGGAGTTTGATTAGTCACGCGTTATCCAATTTGAATGACTCATAAATGTACGCGATTCCCGTATCATCTACACCAAGTTTAAAAATAGTTTTGAAAAAATCCAACTCATTGAATAAATTTGAAGAGTTGAATTGTTTTAAATTGAAGGAACAAATCGGACGTTTGATTCCTGTTCAGAAATTTTCTCAATTGAAAGACACTGATGGAGTTCCAAAAGCAGATTAAACATCACTCAAAAAAAGACTGCCTTCTGCAATAACTTGGACAGGTTTGAAAATTTTAAATTTTCACTACATGGAGGCATCAAAAAACACATCAGCAAGGCAAGGCCAGTGAAAACCGTACAAACTGCTTTTCTCATTAAGAACAATAAAACTAAAGCAGCGGTTTGAATCATTTTAAATTTCCTGCGTTTCGATTTATTTAAAAATCATCGAAATTCGGATCAAAAGAAAGATAAAGGTACTAAACCATACTCAATTCCACGCTGATCACCTCGATTGCGAGAAAACTATTTGAAAATGTTATAGATGTCTTCTCAAATGCATGCGTGATACACGGTTTTCTGTTTCAGAATTAATTTCACAAGCTTTTAGAAAAGTAATTGTATATTCGGCTAGCGTGCGGAATTCTCTACAACCGTATATATGTACGTTTTGAATTGCACTTGTTCGCTAAAAGGAAATTCAAGCACAGTGAAGGCACCCCCATCGTCAGATTCCCCAAAAATGCATTTTTTGTTCTTTTTTCATCTTCATTTTAAACATAGGAACAAGTTGTTACAAAAGTGTGTATATATTCTTGAAGCGCGTGAAATTCTCTATAATCCTGCACGTTGCCGGTCTTGACCTGCAATTCTTTGCTAACAAATGTTTGGAATATTCTTACTGTACTCACGTATCGCATTCCTATGGATTGTATTACATGCTTCTCCAACTAACTCTTCTTCTTTTACAGACTATGAGAAAGAGCACATTCAAAAGTACAAAAAGAACTGAGTTCTCACTTTTGGAACCCTTTTTTACGGCAATAACAGCTGAAGAAAAAGGTTAACGTGGAAAAAAATACCAGATTTTCAAAGCTTTTATTTTTTTCGTCTTTCGTATAATCTGCGTAGTTTTCTTGATTGACGTTCTGAAATTAAAGTTTAGGTATGGTTTTGTAGAGTATTTCGCAGCGCATCTTTTTAAGAAAAACATTAACATTTGGGTCCTAAAGAAATAGAAGAAAAATAGAAAATACTGAGAGGCCGCACCCGTTACAATTCGTGAGAATGTGATAGGTAGAGGGCATTAACAATTTTCAAAATTTTTGCTAGCAAATAATCTCGAATTCAGGCTGGAAACGTAGAGACTATTAGAGAATTTCAAGCACTACCAGAATATATAATTACTTTTCTAAAAATATAAATTTATAGGAATGATATGTTACAAATACGGAGTCTAACTATTTCTTGCTAGGGGAATATATATTGAGACCTTGATACCCTACGAACAGAAAATACGTGTGATGAAGTGAGAAAATCTTTGTTTCGTTCATTAGCTATATTCATGTGCAGAGAATCGCATTTATTATTTATGGTGATCATTCATCCGAAGAAGAAAAGTCAATATGTGCGTTATTTACTGATTTGCTGATCAGCTAAATCATCATTCCTAGGCTTTCCATAGAAATAAAACCACCGCTTTCGATCATTGGTATTAGATTTTTGTGGACTCTCGCGCAAGAAATCCGAACGACGTTTTGCTGTTAGATTAATTGTGGTGATTAAATACAATAAATAACATGTAAGCAACAAAGAATACGTTAGCTAAGCTCGCTTTGATTTTTCGGTTCGCTGGACCTACTGGATACAAGACCCATCCGTTGATGGAAGATAGCAGCAATACTTGAAACTTTCTTAAGGTAGAACCACAAACACCACTAGTTAGGCCAAAAATATTATTAGGTCGAGAAAAGGTTTCAAGTGCAAGGACTTTCAAAAATCCCAGATGCAGAGAAAGTCTGATGGCTTTGAAGTTTTGTCTGCAATTTTGGGAGTCTTTTAGGAATCTTTGGAAACGATTAAAGTCTCAAGGTTGAGATACAGGTTTCTAGACCGTTATGAGATAATCAGGCAGATTATAACCTGATAATGGGAAACTGTTCACCATTTCTTCTGTTTAGAACGATGATAAAACCGTTCGTTAGTATTGCTTTTCTGGTTCTTTGTCTGTTAGTTATCAATTGCAATGGGGTGAATCATTGTACAAAGTATGCCAATACCGTTTATCAAACAAACGTTACATTTCCTGGCAAAAAAACATGGTACGGTTTAGTTACACTTCTTCCAAATAATATACTTTTTGAAGATGATTCGCTTGGCGATACTAACACAATAGCAGAACTAGGTTTACAAATTACGGTGGGCACGCATTCTGGTCACTATTCTTGTCCGACTGCAACCACTATAGCTGCTGTTGATTTTGGCTATGCATATAAAAATCCAAAAGAGCCAGTATTGAAATCAGGCGCATTAGCAGTACACAATTTTTATTTATATTTAACAAAAGATGGTCAATCATGTACAGGAAAATTTGTATTTGCAATGTATCCTCCAGGCTCGAATCCTTTCTCGAATAATCTTAAACCATTGCTAAAAAGTGGTGTAGCAAAATTAACATGCGAAAGACTTAAGCCCAAAGGTTTAACTTTATTTTAAATTAACAAATTCCTGTTACATTTTAATAAGCAATGTTACTCCAGGAAGAAACTTTGGACCTCCACAGGTCCCTTTAATCTATTATTTAGGCTTACATCAGTAATATTTTTCTGCTCAATGTAGACGGTTAACCTTGCTCGTACAAACGTATTCCATTTTGGGATGCACCGGTTACGGTTATAACCGAAAACCGATGCAGATTGTAACAGACGCCGGTTGTAAACGATTATCGGTTGTAACCGACGCAGGTTGTAACCGATGCTTATTGTAACTGTAAATGTTGTTAGTCATGTCAGTTTTGTTTGTATTATAGTACCACTACAATTTAATCTTTGTCTAAACACACGGAATTTCAAGTCGCTATAATGTCATTATCATCTCGAAAAGCATTTTTATGGTACCAGTCAACAAATAACAAGTGAAACACATGATATGCTTAGTAATTACTAAGAGTAAATACCACTGTCTGAGTTCTGGTGTTATTAGATATTTACTATCGGTAAAGTGTTTGTGACTGTGTAATTGATCGATAAAGTGCATTATCGGACAAATTAAAATCTAAATTAATCAAAGTTATTATTGGAAAAATGTGGGTCAACTACTTTAAAATGAATATTTTTTAACGTATGACAAATTGAGGCAGCTACGGTACCACCACCGCTATCGCCTGCCACACCAATCTTCGTTGATTCTTTTCCACCTTCGATTTTTATGAAATACAGTTTATGTGTTTTTAGTGATTTACCAAACCATGTCTTGTGTTTCATAATATATTTTATGTCCAAACAATCATCTAACCATATGGGATATTTATACTCGGGTGCAAGACGATATTCAACTGAACACCATATGGTTTCTGTTGATCTGGAAGGACAAACCTGAACTCTGTTGGGTTTTAAATGTGGAACTTCTGCTCTACATACCTATTCTAATTAATATCTCAACTATGAATTCGTATTTATAAAGCTAAACCAATATAGTTTCTTTCGTAAAATCTGAGAGAATATAGCCCTTCTCTAACATCAGCAATTTTTCAAAAAATTGAGATTTCATAATGAGTTCTCCGCATTTTAGACTATTATTAAAAGAACACAAAAGGATTTCTTGTTTGAATACAAGATAAAAAAGCTTCGAGATATCTTTTACTGGACTCTTCTCAGTGAAATCCACTTTTCTCCAACGAGAACAACACTTTCACTCAAAATCAAAGGGACATTCAGCATTAGCGTTAAATACTGCATCTAGCACATGTGTTATGAAAACAAAAAAAGACATTTAGCATTTCGTGAGAGGAAGCAAGGATATGGAAAATTCCAAAGAACTTTTCATTGTTGAGAAAAAAATTGTTTAAAAAAGGTATCAACAAGTTTTCTTCAGAAATTGAAGAATTCCGTTGTTTCTTTAATTGTAGAGACATTATCATGCGTTTGATTTTTTTAAATTACGCATCATTCGAACGAGCATAAAAACTCCAGATGCTACCAGATGCTCTACAATACATTGAAATACAAGTGGCGAATAGGTGGAAAAGTGCTCAACATTAAGTACCTTACTACTACTCATTACTAAGTAAATTGTTTTAAAAATGATTTTCATTTGTATAAAGTCATGTTTATCATCAATAGGTCAAAGCATGTTAAGGAAGCAGTTTAGGAATAGGTAGGATCGAACGTAGAAAATGAGTAGTAATAATCCAAAAAAAGAATAGACACTGTAACTTGTGTTCTTCTTGGTCGATATTTGATACAGAAGTATCATAAAATCAAACTATCGTATTCATCATCATTTGATTTACTCTCTTACTCTGCTAATTGATTAAATATTGTTTGATGTGTTTTTCCTGAACCCAAACACATACCACCGCCATGAAGGAAGACAACTAGTTTATTTCTTTTAACATTTGTTGGTACTGATATTGTAATGGGAATCTCTATTAATAGACAGACAATTTACTTTATTTTGTATTAACTGGAAGTTAAATGACATACTTTCGCCTGACGGTAATGGAATAAATATTTCTCTTTCAGTTCCGTTGAATATATTTGTTAATTTTTCATTAATTTTTTCAGCAGCAAATTCTATTCTTTCCCTCATTGATTCTACACTAAATGATTTTAGTGATGGTAAACAGTTTGTTATAAATTCTAAATGCGCTAATGCTTCGTTATTCATTACTGCATTCATAATTTCACTCTTCTCAATCTAGAGTAATAATGCAGATACCATAAACAGAAAGAAAATATAAGATCTGATTTTATTACAAGACTGAAAGCTTTCTCTCGTCCTTGAGAGTATATTTATCAATTATTAAAACGATACATGTTCGCGAGGAACATCTAGATAACAACGCTTCTAAGTTTTAAAAAATGTTAGACACAGTTACGCATGCTTTCCGTAGAATTGTTCCATACTTCTGATTCATTTATACAAAATCTGAGTAAATCTAGTAAATAGAAGTAGATGAAGGAAGAATAATCCTTCCTGTGTCTACGGTTACCGGCAGGAGCACTGTCCAATCGCAGTTATGATAGCACAATGTCTTTCTCTGCAGTAAATAAGCTTCACAGGTGATTAACTGTCTCGTCAACAATTATTAACTAGAACTATGCCCAGAAGGTTAAACTACCAAAGAGTTCTTCCTCCCTCCCAAATTACTTGAGCTCTATAAGCACATTCATTAATCATATCCCAGCTTGAGATTAGTATCTTCTCGACAGTACGAAAATACGAGAATTTTTTAACTACGCTCAATGTCTAAGCATCCTAGATTGTTTCTGCTTATGAGTCTTATATTCGACAGAAGTGGATCTACGCCTATTTATTTTGAAGAAGGCGTTTAAAAATGATTTTTCAAACTTAACAGCGCTTTAACGTATTTCTATTATCGAAACCAGTATTCTTCACAACAGCCCTTTATTTTTAAAATACGTTTTGAAATACCACATAAAAGTTTTTTATAGTTTATTACCTTTTAAAATCTGTTATGGTAGGTTTCTTTTATATTTTAAAAGCAAACAAACATTTAAAAGATGTATAGAAAGTCTGATGTATCATGTGGTGTAGCTCATATTGGGTGAAATTCTAAATTTTTTTGAGAGAGTGTAATGATGTTAAGGTGCAGGTTCACAAGCTTTATTATTTAGAAACATTGTAAATGGTACTTTTCAGCTTTCCATGATATGTACTGGCTTAACAGAGTGGAAAATTTTCTCTCACTGATCTAGTTCAACATTGACAATACAGCTTGCAAATCACTCTCCTTGAGTGATCTACTTGCAGCTTGTAGCCTAACCAACTAAAAAATCTTGAAAGACCTTGTATACCTTGAGAAAGCTTCGAGAGTGTTTAGAACTACAATCATGTCCAAACTCTTTTAGGTTTTGTACAAATCAATCACAAATTGTGCAATAAACACGTAACACCTTCTCAAAGTATTTATTCATGCATTATAGGTGTATTTTCCTGATAAAAATATAGAGAAAGTACTTTGAGCATCAAACAAAATGTTGCTTACAATTATTCTTTTAACAATAATTATTTGTCTTTTATTAACATATGTTCTTATATTGCTTAATCGATATCAATATTTTAAACAACGAAATATTCCGACACCACCGTATCGATTTTTTTTTGGTCACTTGAAAACACTATGGAATGCCCAGTTAAAGTCCAAACAACTTCAGGAATGGACCAAAATATATGGCAAAATTTATAGTTTATTTGAAGGCTCAACACCCGTCTATGTCGTGTCGGATGTGAATCTTTTACAAGAGATATTTATAAAACAAATTTCGAATTTTAATGCACGAAAATTAACGTTAACTCCGATACCTCCGACGAGTCCTCATGCATCACTACTTATTACAGGTGGTAACACATGGAAACGACAACGACAAGTAACAAATCCAACGTTTACTACGACAAAATTAAAACAAATGTCAGCATTGATTAAGGACTGTGTTGACGCTTTTATGAGTAAATTACCACGGCATTGTGACTCCGGAGAAGAATTTAATATTTATGCTCTATACAAACGTATGACAATGGATGTTATTTGTAAGTTAAAAGTTTAACACTATGATAGAAAAGAAATGTCTTTTTAAAGAAGAAGCGTAATTCAATACTATCTGAATACCATTTGAAAGTGTAATCAAATTTTTCATCTTTCGCATGTTGCAAACTTTTCTTTGCTCAGTACATGTCACATATTCATTTCCCTTTCATTTTCTCAAATTGTGTATCGTTTAGTTCGTTGTGCATTTGCAGTTGATACCGATATGCAAACCGATACAGAAAATATTTATTTAAAACGTGCAAACAACTATTTTTCACCAGAATATAACAGATTACCAATATTAAAACTTCGATTTCTTATAGCTGAAATAGATTCATTTTTATGTGCAATGTTAGATAAAATAAACCTTGTTAAACGAAAATTAAAAAGTTTAATTTCATCAATTCACGATGATGATAGATCACGGCTTTACAGTCGTATAGAAGATGTAATTAAAATGCGATCAGATAAAGCTAAACAGCGCGTTGATCTTTTGCAGCTATTGCTAGATGCACAAAAAATACGGTAAATGTTGTATCTCTTGACTTGCTTAGTGATATATTTTTGCTCTCCTTCTTTATTATATCAAGGAAAAGTCGGACGATCAATCGATAGTATTAACTTACAATGAAGTGAAAACCAATATTCATCTATTTATGCTGGCTGGATATGAAACAACATCAACTGCACTTGCATATTGCACTTATACCTTAGCCAATCATTTGACTATACAACAAAGATTGCAAAAGGAAATCGATCGGTATTTTGGTGTTATTGGAACCAATGACAAAACCCTGATTATGATCTTGTTAGTCAAATCCAATATTTGGATTTATTTACAGGGTGTCCCAAAAATACGTTGACAAAATTAAAAATAAAAAATTTATTCAAAGTATCAGTCTTTTCTTATAACCACGAACATTTAAAATAAAGCTTATAATCTCAGAAAGACAAATCAATTTTCTTCAAAAATGATCACCTCTGGCGTCGATTGGAAGCTTCAGCCTCGATGGAATTTTTTTTCTTGAAAAATTGTGTATTTTAGTTCTGTCAACGTATTTTTGGGACACCCTTTATTAAGGAGGTATTACGCATGTATCCAATACCATTAGCAGTTCCTAATCGCCGGTGTGTAACTGACACAGTTGTTTGTGACTATGAATTTACCAAAGGTAAAGAAATAATTTGTTTACGATAGACTCAACATGTTTTGTGTCGAGATATTTACATTTTACAGTTCGCTGTGAAAGCCAAGGAATTTGGTTTGCTGGATATGGTTGATTGTGACAACCCATTTGTAATGGTTGAACACGCCAGAAACCCGTAGCTGTCTCATAGAAAGTGACTTGTTCTGTCCAATAATCACGCTGATTTTAAGCTTTGTTGCTCCGATTCCAAAGAAGTCGTCTTGTAAATTCTCTTTATTTCAGATGTAATACCGTTACGATAACAGGGAGGAACTCTCTCCGCTCTATGCGATGATTTTTTTTTCATCGAAAAATCAAGTAATATTTGGATTAATGGCTTCAACACCAAACCATGTATTTTGTCTGGTATTTCAGTTCAGTTTTAACAGAAAAAACATACATGACGACATGATAGGTCAACTTTTTAACGAAAATACAGCTATATTAATATCATTTTGAGCTGCATCTGATCACATGTATCTAGGAGAACTATGACGCTTCAGGCAGATGTTTGTACATAAGAGGAATAGATCTTGTTAAGTAAAAAAACACTTCTTTTCTGTTCTTTTAAGTCAGCTTTGTCAGCTAATTTTTATCTTTAGCTGCAATGGGTTGAGCAACACTTTTTTCTCACAACATAAAACGAACGAAACTCAAATCCTTAAACTAAAAACTCAAATTTAAAATTTCGAAGGTTTTTTTGAGTTTCGTTTAATTGAAATTTGAGTTTCATCCATTAAGTTTCTAAAGTACACAGTGGGCATCCAGGCGGAAGTTAGGCGGAAATGTCGATTACTTATTTTTTCAAAAATGAATAGTGCAAAATGTAGGCCTTGAAATTCTCTATCGAATGGTGTATGACTGCCTATTTTGATGTTAACTCCTTCGAGGAGAAAAAAGGACTTGAAAACAATACGACAAAAGGTGAAAAAAGTGAAATCTACGTATAAAATA